GTTCCCGTAGTTCTTCGAAAAAACAACGACGGAAAGCTTGGCCTCTTCAATGGCCCTAAGAAGCGCCGACGATATCTCATCTCCTCGTTGAAGATTGTAATCTATATACGTTCCGACATCAAGTCTGGTTAGAGTAGCATGAAGGTGGCTAGTGAAGGTGTAGCGTGTGTCCTCGCCTCTAAAGCTAAGGAACACTTCATGCTTTTGTTGAGGAGTATTGGAAGAGGTTGACCATGCCATGTTTATTGGCTATAGTTAGCTTCGTGTGAATTTGAGCACTATGTGAACCTCAATTTATAATATTATGGCTTAGTTATGTGAGAAAGAGTATTAATAAAAGAATGAATTATGAACCTTCCTAGCAAGTATCACGCGGCTTTGAATTTCATTGGGACCGTAGTTTTTAGTTAAGCTTATCTTGTGTGACATTGATGAGCAAGTTGTAGAAGAATAGAGTACAAATTATGGACTTTGTGTGAAAACTGAATAAATAATTGTGGTTTACTTCGTCAAACTCATTTAGTGTATATTGATATATTTATATATTTAAATCCCGATTTCAACTAATTCCAAACTCATATTCGAGTTGTGTAACGAGCAAGTTATTGGAGGTGCAGATTTCACTAAAAATAGAATCTGTCACGATCAGTTATGTCCTAGGGATGAACTTTATGAATGATAAACAATTAAGAATTCTTAGCTGACAAAGATAAATTACTTAATAATAAAAATTTGAAAGAATTCTTGTATTTCATTTTCCAAAAGTGTTGATATAAAGACAATACCTTTGTTCAGGGCCGATCACTGACCCAAGAAAAAATTCAATCATCCACCTGAGGCTGATGTTCACCATTGAATGATCATTAGATGGTCTCCTTCGTTCCAGGTAGAAATGGAGGGAATGTCCGTAACCATCATTTATATATAAAGTATTTCACGGGAGACTTGAGGTATTCTCTTTCGAATCCATAATTCGCTCTATTCTTCATTCTCATATTGACTTGTGCATTGGAGTAATAACTATGCAGGTCCACCATGGTTCCGAAGATCCACTTCATTGCATCAAGGCTCTATTCTATCATTTCACCAAACATTTCTAGTTTCCTAGCAGAAGAGTGACACCGTTTGTGAGAACCGACTAGTAATTGATGCAATTTTCTATGATTAGACCATTTTGATCCAAAATCACCAATCACAACAATGCTTATGTTCAATCAAAGAAGATGACTTTCGATCCAACCACAAAAAACATTATTGCTCCCTCAGCATCTAGATCGTCCCATTCCTTCGTTGTCGACTCAATTAGGATTAGATCTTTTGGAAATTCCTTCAAATCATCAACAACAATCGAAAAACAAAAAGAAAATATACATATTTTAGGGTTTTGAGACCACAAGAAAATGGATCAAACTCTTGATATGACATTTCCACTAGTCGTAGTCGTCATAGCCAATCACTAAGTATTGAGGATCCTCATCGAAGACAGAAGTTCATGGGACCTTATGTACCTTAGATTCTTTTGGAAGTTAAAACGACACATGAATGATTTGAAGTCGTGTGAAGGTGGAAACCTTCTAGCGTCTAATGATTTTTCAATCGTCCACGTGGAACCATAGATCTACCAGTTTCATTCGGAGAGAGAGAAAACAAGAGAATCCAGAAAAATATGCTTTCTCGTCATCTGTAACACCCTGTTTTTCTTTAGTAATTATTTTAATAGTTATTTATTTTATTAATTATTATTTGATATAGTAATTAATTAAATTGTGTGATTTTGTGAATATTTAGATTAATTATTTAATTGTGTTTTGGGTTAATAAATGTTAGAATAGAAATATTGAGTATTGGGTTTTAAGTGTCACATTAGAATAGGTGGGGAAGATAAGCCCATTAGTGAAATAATGGTTAGTAAGGTGTTGTGAAACAAAAGAGATACAATTGTGAAACAAAAGAAGAGAAGAAAAGGAGAAAAAGAAAGGAAGAAGGAAGAAAAGGAGAAGAGAAGAGGAAAAGCTTATAAAGAGTCTACATTTAAGGTAAGGGTGAGATTTCTTGTTATCATGGGATTATATATGAGTATGTAATGGGTAGTAACATGAGATTAGAGGTTTGTTCTTCAATTTCTAAAATTTGACATGTTAGAGTTTGAATGTGAAATCATGAAATTGATGTTAAAAATCATGTTTTGATGTTTGTATTTGATGCTATATGATAGATATATGTTATAATACATTTAATTGGTGAAAAATGGGTGTTGAAATGGATTTTGGGTGAGAAATTCGTAACAAGAGAGAAATATCCGCAAGCAGATTTTTTTCTGGTTTTTCGTGAGGGCGCTTAGCAGGATGCAGCCCACTTAGCACAGTCGTCTGGGAGCAAAAATGTTTTATTTTGTTTGATTGGATGGGGGTCTTATATGTTATGATTTATCATTGATTTATATGAATTTTAATAATTTATTCGATGTGTTTTAGATTGGTTTTGGATGAATTTTAAGGAGAAACATGACACTTGATTTTTTGTATGTAATTATTGGGAATTGATGTTGATTGAAGATAACATGGTTTGTACTTGTTTGCTACATGTTATAATGATGTATTTTATGTGATTGATGACATGATATATGTATGTTATGCAATTTGATGAAGATAATTCAAATATGTTGAATCATGTGAAATATGCTTGGATGGTTAAGATTGAGGGATGATCTTAATTTCATATGATTGTTGAGATCGCATATGTACATGCATCATTTGTGTCAAGAGGAAATGTTTGGTAATTCCATGGGAATTATTGACTTGTCACAAACCTAACACTGAAGGGGGTTTGAAAGCTTAAGGTCGAATCGAGCTTTTATTGATGGTTATCTGTCTGAGGGATTGACTCGACTGGACTGATAAGAATAACATTTTGTATCACATGTATATTGCATTGAGTTGCATTGGAGTCACATGTGTCGATGTGAAATGTTGAATTGGTGTGCATTATGTGATATTTTTGTGAATGTTACATATGTGATATTCGTGGTTGATTATCTTTGAATCTTGTATCGTTGAGAAATGTTGTATATGTAATCATGTGAATTGTATTGAAATTTGTTGAATATATGAATATGTGAAGTGTGATGAATTTATTTGATGTATGTTTATTATGCATTACTTATTATTATATATATTTCTATAATGATATGAATTCTCATCCTTCTGTTGGAATGATGTTTTGTACGACATCGCTTCGGTACTGAGGATAGAGGTGGTGCTTCTAGCAAGGATTAGTAGGAGGAGATTAGATTCTCGTTTATCCATTTACTAGGTAGTTAATCATGCGCTGTCTATGTAACACGGGGAACATTTAGATTCATGTTTTGCTTATCAATTTGCATTCGAGTATTTGTACTTAATTTGTATTTGAGTCGTATTGTAATTGCTTCGACTATTGTTACTTTGTACCATTAGAACCCCTAATTACACAATAAAATAAGAGTATTTGTTCCTTGATAATGTTTCTTATGTAGTCGAGCAAGTTGTCTTTTTGTCGTTTCATCAAACGTAGCTTAAATCACAAGTTAGAACTTTTAAAATCAAGATGTTGAGTGTTTGATTTGAATCACATACTAAATGTGATTCGAATCATAAACTCGTGAAAAATATGGGGTTTGTTATTGGACTGCTTGATTTAAATCATCAAATAAACCTAATTTGAATCAAAAATCTTGTGACTCGAATAAAGCGCTAACCATGAGTCGAATCATATGATTTAGTGAAGTCATATTTAGGACCTGATCTTCTTGATTCGAATCTGGAACTTAACTTGATTTGAATCGTAATATATTGTGATTTGAATCATGATTTCCTCTAAACTCAAATTGTGACTTCACAAAACCCAATTTTCCATCATAGATTTATACAATTGTTTCTCTATTGAAAGCAACAAGTATGTGAAAACCCAAAAATGGTGAGACCCAGTTTTGAGACAAAAATAAAATTTGTCTTCTCTTCTTTAGTCTATATACTCTTAGCACCTTTAATCTTTATCTTCTTATCTAGAATAACTTATTGAATGTGAATTCATGTCAGATTCATTTTCTCCTTTTGTTGCATCTTATTCTTGTGCAATTGGTCGTTGTGATGAGTGAATTACAGAGAGTGAGTTGATTAATCTTGTTATGTTGTTCATGATTAATCAAGCTCATGATAACAATCAAGATTTAAGACCCATTTATCCAAAAATTTGAGAGAACCTTGTTGTGTTCTTCATTCACATTCATCTAATATCTTGACTAACACCTTGTGTTTTAGATTGTTTGTGAGATATTCAGGAACTATTCATCATCTTCATCCTTAGTCTTTTTCCATTGTTGAGGATCTTCATCTCTAAAGATTGAGTGTTGAGAGAGACTAGTGGTACATTACAATATCTAATGTTTTTGTGTGATGTTTGTTGTTTGTAATAGGTGGAGATATCATTTCTTGAATGCAGTTTGGTATTTGTTGTTATCTATTAAGGAGAGAGTTTCAATATACTCCAAGGAAGACTTTGGAGAGATCAAGTATCAATTAACCGTAAGGCGGGGTGGAAGTTGTCCATATTTGGTGGAGTTGGAGAGATTACTTGCAGACAAAGTTGGGAGTTGTCCAATAAACGCTTAGCTAATGGCAATCGCTCAAACAAGAAATCAGTGGGATCAGGTGGATTTCCACATACGAATACTTGGAGTAGGTTATTGTGGATAGTAAGGTTATTGGATGAAGATCTTTTAGAGATCGTCTTTTTGATAGAAACTTGAGTGTTTGCATCAATAGAGGGAATTACCGTTTGATAGTTTGTTGTAACCAAAGTTATTGTATCAAATAGTGGAAGATCATGATTATTTTACAGTGTTTATTAACATCATTGAAGAGTGGATTAAGAAAAGCGAGGAAGAACTACGAACCACTATATATCTTGGCGTATCTTCATTCTTCCCTTATCTCTTTTAATTTTCTAGTATTCATTAATTTTTCTATTGTATTAGTGCAATATTGCAATATTTGTATGCCACATAAGTTAGACTGTGCTTATAGAGATTTAATATATAAGCTTAGGTCTAGGGTGTATAAATCTTACTGAAACATCGTGAAGCCTATTATGATTTGATATAACATCTATGTAAATAGTTTTTAAATCGCTTTCTTTAAAGCGTCATTGGTTGCATTGTGGTTGACTTACATTAGTAGCAATCCAGTACTTATAACATCATG